TAATTGACCACTTTTCAGTTGGGCTAATTACAAAAGCGTGTTTTTTACTTTTTTTAAACTATTTTTTTATACTCTAGATACATTTATTCTGACTTAAATTATCAGGCCCTGATCCTTGCAAATAAATAATTTTTGCTGTGCCTTTTACGCTTGATTGAGTTACAAAAGTAATTGTGGGTCACTTTGTAAAAAACACACTTTTCGTAAAAGGATGAATAGTAATGCTTCTCTAGAATAATGAATGCATGAATACTATGTAAGTTAGCAAGCGACCTATAATAAATGAGAATATTCTGTAGTATCTATTTAGATATCTTGCATAGCGTTACTACAACAAAACGTGTCGTTCTCAACAATTCCCTAAACTATAAAGTATGCACGCATGTACGCTACATTGAGTTGAACTAAAAACTAGCTTTTGCCCACGGCCCCGCCCGCGTAAATATCGGTTATTGCGGTAAAATGTAGCCTATGTCTTTTCTCAAGAATCAAAGTATCTCCACACCGAATTTCATCTAAATCGGTTCAGCGGTTATTGATTCCCCTTGCAAACTTCCACCCCCCTTATCACTCCCTTAAATAATGATTTTTTTGATAAATCTACTCTATATTCTTTCCTGGGACTCGGACTATCTCTATACCAAATTTCATCTAAATCGGTTCAGTGGTTTAAGCTTGAAGAACGACAGACAGAGACACACTCTCGAATTTATAAGTTGGACTAGTGAACTAGTATGGATATATTTTTCTCTTTTGTTTGATCTTCTTTGGATTTAAATTTTTTGTTATCCTGCATTTGTTTTGTTTAAAAGCCACTTAGGTTCCCTTGAATTGTTTCCAGTATCTCATGTTTGTTGTCATCGTTTCTGGTTTACAAGTGTAAACAAACGCGCAAGAGACATGCCTCGGCATAGACCTGTTCGACCAGCGTAATACTACAGCATCACAGAAAACCATTGTTAAGCGTTGTTTCAGTGCGTTTTACCGAGGGAGTGAAGTTACCTAAGACCCAAGCCGCTTCCTCGGAGTCTGGAGAGTAATCAAAGGTCGACAACGCACCAGTGTCTCTTGAGCTGCCCGTATCTATGAGCGGCGGCAGTCAGTTATCATCAGGTGGCAAGTCGTTTCCTCGCTATACCATAAAAAACGTCATCATCATCATCATCATCATCATCATCATCATCATCAACAGCCTTTAATAGTCCACTGCTGGACATAAGCCTCTCCTTAGAAAGGAGGTTTTGGCCTACTATACCACGCTGGCCAGACGGGTTGGTATAGTTTTTTCAAGTTTTCCTTCTCTCTGCAGTGCTGTTGTCTTGCGTAGTTTTTTCCCTTAGTCGGCTCTTACGACACCCACGGGATTAAAAGGGGTGGTGACACTCTGTATTCTTAAACCGTCACCACGAATCTAAAATGTAAAGACTATTTGCCATATAAACGTAGTGGTACTCATTAGCTGGTTATTAAATTCAATATTTTACTCTCTTAAAAAGCGAATCTCTATAATATAACATTCAAATATGAACATAGTTTTTTTAGCTCTGGACTCCTCTCGAAAACTTGGTATGTGGCAATTAGAAACCGTGATATTTGAATAACTTTATGCCCCGACATAAACATCATTGTGCTTAAACCTTATTAGTTGCAGAAAGGTATCAATGTATAAATTTTCATTATCATTTTTTATGTGTTTGCATAGCAGTACGTACACGCAAATAACCATTAACAATTTATACTAAACACAAACCTAAATTTATCGATAACTACATCAGCGACCATTTAACTTGAAACAATTACATTGCTTCCATCAATAATAATACGAAAAATTATATACTAAAATTTGTCCAATCACTCGGCCTAAAGTGGACGTAATCACTTTAATACAAGTCCTTAGTACACATTGGACCAAATTATTGGTGCTTTGAAAACTGTAATTTGTTTATGTTGAAAAATGTACGTAAAAGGTACACATTAAAAAGATAACAATAATTGCATATCATGACAAGTATGGTATTTTACGAGCAATATCGGAACAATCTTTGGACGAGTTAGGTTACGTCACGTAATTAGGGTTGATGGACTGTTAAGAGCTCGTTGTAGAGAATTTAAATAAGGATACTTTATGAAAAGAAAGATTAAAGTGAAAAAGTATGTACTTGTATTAAAGAAACTCCCAAAATAATTAAAAGGATGAGAATGGTGGACTTAAATCTACTTTTATATTCAACTTTTGTAGGTATCTCCTCTCAAGACAGTACACTTAAAATATTCAGTACACTTAAAAGGTTATAAAAAATTTTACTCATACAGCATTGAGTTAAAACAACACTAGAGAAGCAAACCTCATTATCACACGTCGAAAAAAGTGTAACCACTTTTGAACTTTGACGACGTAGCTTTGATACCACTAAACATTTGAAAGTAAACATATTTATGTCTCATTTATACGCGAGACAAGAACAATACCATCGCTCGGATTAGACAAAGACAAAGATATAACCTTACGATGGTGGGCCAGTGTTGACTACCGTATGAAATTTTACCCATAACAACTAAGAAACAATTTTTTTTTTTAACAATTTTGTAATAAAATAAATTAATTTAAATATTCTAAATAATATATTTCGAATTGAATAGAATAGGTATAAATAATAAAATAACTGGAAATATTTGGTTAAAGGGTTTATATTCAGTGTAAAATCAAACTGCGCTGTGAAGCATCAGTTTTGTATACAATTGTCTTTTAGACTCTTTTTTATAAGTTTGTGTGGATATTTTACTTTCATGATACAATATTATTTTTACGTATGTAAAAATACAACGTAATACGTATGTAAAAATAATAGCATTTAATAATAAAAGTGAATGATCAACTTGTACTGATAATAAATAATCCCCAGGGTGTATTGCAATTTTATAAAAAAAAATATTTATGTTTATTTACTTTTTTATTTTTTATTTTTATTTTTATGATAAACTTTATTATTATTATTATTTTGTACAATTATTATTTAAAATTGATAATAAATTAAGAAAAACAATGAATTAATTTTTTTGTACAAGTCTCCAGCACTGCGAGCTTGGCACTTCTGCCAAGCTCGCAGTGAACGTTTAACGGGTCCCTAAAAAAAGGGATCGGTCCAGCCCTAACAACTACCGTTCTTCCTATATTTTATTATTATTGGCAAAATGTTTAAAAACAGTATAAAGCATATTATTTCATAAATTATAAATTCTCCCACTGATGTGGGAAAACCAAAATGATTTTTTAATGGTAACACTGATTCTAAATTACAATTATCAGTGTTTTATTTCAATTATAGCCTTATTTACGATATTATCAATACAAAAACCATAAACTTACACGTGAAAAGTAATTCCGCATGATTTATTAATGTTTTGTGACCTTGAATCGCATTCTTTCACTACGCATTTAGCCATTTTGGCGATTGTTACTGTCATGTGTCGCTATGTTCAACTCGGTTGACGCCACATTGAATAATGAATTGACGTTTGCTACGCATATGCCTGTGGACATATGTGCAGTAGCAACGATTTTAGGCGGTAATTACTCATCTATGTAAGTATTATATCAATGTCATACAGGTAAATCATTTATAAAGTAGGTATTTATTTCATACTAGAATTTTTCAATTTGAAAACATTCGTTCGTTTAAAAATTTAGCTTCGTCTGCCCATACATTTGGAATACTTCATTCTAAATTTTTCTTCGTATGCAGATACTTTCTTAAAATTGCGTACAAAAATGTATCTTCACGCATTAATACAAGAACTATAAAACAGTAAATCAATCATATTATCAACGCAATTCCCAATGTTTGTTTAGCGTTTAACCTTCTTAGCTACACAATATATGTAAATAAAACTTGACATTTCCAACACAATCCATCATTCAATTACCTCTCAAAGTGCAAAATAGCTATTACAGTATACGCACATATTATCTTCACTGATTCGTTCAACGAATAAGGTAATATGCGGTTAGCACTTTATGACTGCAGTTCGGCAGACCCATATACCGACAGTGTCAATATATAATTAGCGCTCCACCCATGCCCATTTCTGGCAACTTTCTGGCGCCTATCGATGATTGGCGTAAGTGTTTTATTTGGACGCTAATGAGGAATGTTTAGCATTCCATTTTTGTTTTAAATACTTCATGCTCTCTTCCATTTTTGGTCAGCAGTGTTTTGTTGGCTGTCCGTCAACCAATATAGCTACTTCGTTTAGATAAGCAGGTGTGTTTATGACGTAAGATTCTCAACCATATTTGGAATGATGGTTTTATTCTTACGAGACTGCACACATCTGCTACGTACCAAGATTAGGAAGTCTGTTTCGAACCTTCATAATGTACATCTAACAACCCATCCAATAAACCATGTAAAAATTGTATTTTAATTTTAATAATATTTGTAATATGTTCTGTCTAAATTACTAACTTTTCTATTCAGATTATTATTTGTTTGTTTGATTAAATAGATGTGAAGGTTATATACATACAAATACACGAATACACATTCACTCAAACATATATAAATAGAGACAATATATGTACATATATTTCAATATATGTATATTTCTACCAGTTGCTTCTTGCGAAGTTCACGCAGCTTAGCTTAGCTTTGTTGACACATTACACACACACACACTCACACAAATATTTTAGAGATTCGGATTCGAATCTCAACAAGTACATTACCAAAGTTAACCTACTCCCAAGAGTAGTTACTGGTTACACCAGCGATCTATAGCGTGGCGTCATGATCAATTCACACCTTTTCTTCCACTTGTGTGGTATTTCGCTAGTAGTCAAAAATATATTCGTTAGTTATACTGTTTTTTTTTCTTTTCAGGTGTATTTGCAGTAGTGTAGTGTGGGTGTCTCGGCGTGGCGCTAATGATGACAAGGGTGCGGGCGCGCGGGGACGCCGACCAGAGCGTGCCTATATACTTGACGCACAACATAAACCAACATGTTCACCAGGTAAGTCCTCCTAACTTATAACATTACTAGCTGTTGCCCGCGACTTTGCTCTCGTGATTAATTGTTATTTCATGTTTCTACAACAACCATTACAGCCTTCTAATCCTAGTCAGAGCTAGTCATTTTATGTGTATATTTAGACGTCGTGGGCACAGTAGTTAGGACTTAGAGCATGACATAATACACGCTGTTTCCTGGACATAAATTGAACTGCTTGTAAGTTCAGATTCTGATGATGCGTGCTTTTCTAAGCCGGAAGGTGTCAATATAACTTCTCAGTCGTGTAGAATGGATAATTGAGAAATCTGTCATATTAGAAAAATATTAGACCCAGACAAACATATACGCTTAAATTAATTATCGGTAAAGGTAAACTTGAAAATATTTCTAGTTCAGGCAAGTCTTACGACTATTTTATTTTTTTATATTAGAGGGGGCAGACGAGCAGACGGTTCACCTGATGGAAACTGACCATCGCCGCCCATGAACGTCTGCAGCTCAGGAATGACAAACACGTTGCCTATGGCCTCATTGTCATGTGTCTGTAAGATATGGAATAATTTTCATAATTTACTTTCATGCTTATAAATACAATGACCACTGTTATATCATTTAATACATCTCATTTACATATAAAATATTAGATTGTAAATATTAGTCAATATTAGATTGTTGCATGGCTTAACAATATAAATATATTGTTAAGCCATTAATTAATTATTTAGTGTTTTAATTAGCCAATAATTTAGTGGTTAATCCATCGGAAAATCCTCATCAACTGTGTTTAATAGATATGAAACATGCTCGTGATTATTAACATCATCAATAGTCCCTAAACGTCATTCGTGAAATAAAATTTATTATTTGATAAATTTTAAAATCATAAATCTTAAACATAAACCTTAAAAATATAGTAAAGTGAACGTGAGTAATCGCTTATTTGAGCCTACGTCACTAGTTAAATATAATTGAAGTCTATTTATTCACGTGATACGTACCGTTGTTTCTAAAATACTTTGTGTAAAATAGACCTACAGACCTCATGATTTTTGTCGTCATCCATTAAATACACGTCTCTATTATTACTGTTAGTTCGTGTTACAATCTTCTGGTTCTAAATAATTTCAGTGTGAATGAACTTCTGGAACTCGTACAACACGTTCGTGATTTTTGTCATCAATTAAATATCTAAACGTCACTTGCAAATTAAAACCTTGTTTAACATACTGAAGTAGGTAGTAAGTGATTTTTTACAAGATCGTGATGTTGTGATTGATGATACGACATGGTTGAATTCTGTCCTATATCGTGACAATTTCACTTGAAGTCGTGCTTATAATGACCACTATAAAACAGTTATGACTCAATTTCAAATATGATGTTTTTGGTTTAGACGGATTTTAAGAGATGTAAAAAAATTAGTGCAGTATTTTTTCAAAATCATTTAATAGTATATAAGTATAGTAATTTAGGATGTCGTCAAATTTTAGAAAAATATGTCAAATTTTTCATTATTTGTAGTAAACTTGAAATTCAATATTATTCTTAGTAAATTGCTCACTTAGTTTTCTATAAAAATTCCCATCAAAATTTAAAATAGTAAAGTCGTTTCTTAACGCTAAATTTAGATCACATCGTAGATAAATTGACGTCAACTGTTCGTAAACAAATCCTACATCGCCTCTAAATCGATCGAAAATAATACCTGGTGTTGACTTACTTTTACTATTGCAAATAATACGTAGGGCCATTATGTAATAAAACATATATTAAAACAACAGCAAAAAAATAGGAGCATTTCATAGAACATCAAGATTCAAAAAAGTGTTCAAAACTCACTCGTAGTAATCCGAAAGACATAATTTTCATTTACAAATTGTAAGTCCCACACTATAGAATAATTTCTTGTCATATAAACTCAGAAATAAAAATTTCATTTATACAAAGGTTGCTATGTACTATATTACGTATGAGAAGAATACGTTTGTATCTGTTACGTATGGTTGTGTAATTATGTGCTAAAATGACGTTTCCCATGAATTCAGTCACTTGGGTGAAGTGACGTAGATGTGAACAGATCATACAGATTGACCCTAAAAGTTATATATAATTAGAAGTGTTACGGACTTTTTTATCATATTTGTGGCATGTAGTGTTCAATCACTCACAATCATGTCCAAAATCCAAACTTGTATTGCGTGAGACTTTTTTCACGAGACACGACAAGTTGTCTTCTTCTTCGATGTTCGGGATCGGCCCTCTCCCAATCTCATTTAGCGGTCTCTTCGTTTCGCTTTCCTTTTATTTCTTACCGAAAGCCTAAGATAAGGAAACAGGGCTGATACTTCAGTAAGCTCATTTCTATCATTAGCATTTTAAGTGACTTAATAATATGGTCTATAAAAGTTTGTATTTACATGTATGTACAAATTAACTTAATTATTGAACTAATTGAAATAACACATTGAAATTTTGAAACCACCTTTTATCCTATTAAATATCAATCAACCTCACAAAGGTTTTAGGTATTAGATTTAGCCCGTGATTTAGTTCGCGTTTATGACACTTTTGTCAACCATTATGTCGCTATAAAAGGTAGCCTATGAATAATCTGACCATCCCGTGGGTGTCGTAAGAGCCGACTAAGGGAGCAAACTAAGTAGGACAACAGCACTGCAAAGAGAAGGAAAACTTGAAACAAACCCTATACCAACCCGTCTGGCCAGCGTGGTATAGTAGGCCAAAACCTCCTTACTAAGGAGAGGCCTATGTCCAGCAGTGGACTAGTATAGGCTGTTGATGATGAATAATCTATCTTAGTGCAAAACTTTCGCACTTATTAGAAGTAAGATAAATTATCATCTACAAATTTTTATTTGACTATTATCAATATAACACCTACCTACCTAAAAGTCGTAAAATCATTTAATTTATATAACAAATTGATAATAATTAAACTATCTAATATGTTTAGCGCATACTACGTCAAGTATAAATTTCACAATGTATAAAATTTTGTCTCCATATTTGTAAAACTTATTAGTAAGTATGTTTCAGTCGCCATTGCGTCCGTGAGAAATATATATGTCAATAACATATTGAATTAATATGACCTAGTTGTTTAAAAACATATCTTAGCATTAACAATACTAGTGAGACTTGAAATATTATATATTTAATGAATTGCGGGTTAAATACCCCTAAATATACGTACAACTCTTTTTCTTCTTTTTTACTTTTTACTCCGAGGAACTGATCTGACTCTGACCTGACCTCTTTAACGTTCACAAACGATGAAAACTTTAATTTTATAATTATGCTGCCAAAGTAAGCAACTGCATTACTTCAACAGCTATTTGCGCCACTTTTTACATGAATGGAAGAAAAAACAATACAGTTTTCAAGAGTATGATTTAAAGATATTTTTAATACCTATCTGGTTCCCTTTGTTTTGTTGTTTATCTTTAATTGAAACTTAAAATCGTTGACGTCAAAAACTAGTAATTTAAATTCACAAAACAAGAAATAAAATAAAAACAATTTACATAATTTACACTGGTCCTAGGCATGTTTTTCATCTCTCAGCTAGTTTTTCACATTTAAACCAAAATCTCTATAGGAGAACCCGTGTTATGTCGACGTTCCGCACATAACTCAAATCGTCTTTATATATTTTTTCTCCGGCACAAACCACTCCAATAACGTAATGCGTGTAAGCCCATTACAAAATCATTCGTGAGCGTACACTGCTTACGGCGACATATATATTTATTTACCCATGTCTTTTAAAAGTAAGTTTTGGATTCGATGTGTTATTGGATGGACTTTTACTTAAGTTATAATTTTTGCTATCTTTTTCACGTGGCTTTGCTTATATCTATGTACATTTTTTTCTGAATGCAAGTTACCCTACTGGTACGTATATATTTTTCTGTATCAGGCACTTTCGCATTTTCATATTACTTAGTATTACCTCGTCTACGTTGCTTCCATTATTATAGTCTAAAGGAAAGTCGCCCTAACTTTTTATGTGTTTTACTTATGTGTTTTAAAATTTGGGCTTTACAATAAATGCATAAATAATTTATTAAAGACAATTTTCCTAAATTGCCTAACTTAAGTCGATACAATTTTATTTAATAATAAGTGATACGTCTCTTAGAATGTTAAGTAATAACTACAATACATTACTGAGTTTCGAGTTTAAAATAAAGATTTTAATTATAAAATGAAGACGAAAAACGTATGTATATTACTTTACGGGATATTAATTACGAGTATTATTTCATATTTGGTTATAAATGTGCTACGGTGTAGTTGTTATGATAAATTTAGTACATACAAGTAATGTCACACAAACAGCGATATAGTTATAAATTACGAAAATAACGCTCGTGTTATAACATGAACTATTTAACTACTTGTCGTTTATGAGAACTCGGGCCATGATAATCTTTTATTTCCAGTCACACTTATAGGAGTTGGCCTTTAATTGACTTTTATTGACTGTTCTTGTTTGTATAAAAGATTTTTCTCCATTCACGAAATAGAATAGCTGAATAGAAGGGTTTTATAGTACACCAATTCAGTACATTATACATATAAGAGTACATCAAATTAATGGCCATGTACAAATCGCAAAAAAAAATCTTACGGGTAACCTTTGGATGGACAAATATACTGGTAAAGAAACCATCTTGTTTCAGATTTATTTAAAATAAATATGTTTAATATTTGAACATTGAGCTTTTTAGAATCAAAAAAGTATTTCCATGAGTATTACCAATGTTTGTCCAATGTTCGTCCGCACCGATGTACAGCGACCGGTCTAGTTCGTTTAATGCTCGCTATTTATATTAGACCGAAAGATGACTTGCTCTTATTGTCCATAACCAGCTATTGTCACTAAAGTATTCTGAAATTGTATTGGACGACATCCATTATAGAAAGTAGAGTAAAACTGTTGATAGTGGCTAACTTATTAAAGTGATTTTATGCCG